AAAAAACACAGCTTACCTTACTTAAAATGTGTGTTATGTCTCTCCCGTGTGCTCTACGGGTCGATTTATGGCCGTTTTAAGGGTTTTTATGTAAACGTTTTCTCTCTATATAAAGGTTTACCAAGGTTGGGCACTCCAGCGAAGCGGCCCGACAGATCCACCAAAGGAAAATGACTGTAAATTCACTCTAACTGTTCCAATCGCCTCCAAATTCCACCTAGGTAACACACGATAGTTCTTGTTTCCATTTGTTATCTTGCTTCAAGACACCTTTGCACCGAGAGCGAATCAAAGGTCGCAAATCTGTGCAACCTTTCTCGTCTGAAGCCATAGACAGAACCTAGGCTTGAATAGCCTGTGTAGCTGGCGGTATTATGTGGGTGCGAGATTAAAGTTTTGGCAGTGGAGTTGTGTTCCAAAAAAAGGGAGTAGGGACGAGGCGGTTGAAATACCGCCTGCCAGAAAACCCTGGTATTTTGAATAGTCCGCACACCAGTGTGCAGAGAAACGGATTGGTCGAGGGCCATACATATGTCAATCATGTTAGATGATCCTTCGCATATATTTCCCAAAGGGAGCAGATGGCAAACTGGAAAAGACGTAAGTGATTGTGGTTTCCCCTTTAGAAAGAGCATAATTGATGACCAAATTGCCGAAATGGCATCTTTAAACTTCACAGCGCTGGAATTGTCTTTATTTGGCCGTAAGAAACAAAGGTCAAAGAAAATTAAACACTTTACAACTGCATCTGAGATCAAATCCTATCAGGAACACCTACAGAAGAATAAACCACAGGAAATGGTTACTCAGTATGCATGTAACAAACCACCTTCATGACCTTTTAATGTTAAGCCTAGTGTGGCAAAAAAATATTTACTCCGCCAACGTTTAGAATGACACATGCACTGTGTAGTGCTAGTAACCTTCGCGCGAGAGCCGAGAAAATAAAAAAACCTCTGTTCAAGCAAACTCACAAGGTCACGTTTCACATAATCACGAGCTTAGGAGTCGTGTTTAGCCTGTCAATGCTTATTTCTAAAATGTCTCGCATGAAAATAATCAGAAGTTTCAAATTGCAGGTTTCTCTTTGATTGGCTGATTTAATTGGGATCAGCTAAGGTGACAAAAGCGGGTAGCATTCGAAAAATCATGGTTCTCTGACAGGTGGTATTTCTCGTGGCTTCGCCACACGTGACAGCTCCACCATCAAATCTCACTCAACTATATTACAACGGCTCCACCACCAAATCTCACTCGACTACTACACAATACCGCCAGCTATGCAGGCTAGGCTTGAATTCCATGTTACCATTGAAAGATAGCAACACAGCCTGAGACTTAAATTACTCACACTCGGGGTGGGAGACAGTCTCTTGCTCCCATTGACATCAATACCCGAGAAAGAAAACAGTGGGAGTAAGAGACTGTC